GAATACGAACATGTTCTTGCATGAGGCCCAATGAGTGGACATAGTCAGTAACTTAGTTTTATCTAAAATAAATGAGATTTATTTACAGAATAAAATTAATTACTTATTTACAACTCATTGAGGGAAAATTAGATTTTTACAAAAGTTGAAATCAACGACAATTAACTCACGTCCGTGTTAATTATCATTACTTTGACAGCTTTATCAGGAACAACAAACTTTTCAGGCTTAAGTTGTTAAATAAACCATTGTTTGAGGCRCTGTTCTTAAAGGTTTGGCAGGGTATTTGGGCAAAGATTAAGGAATAGAGAGGAAAAGAGTGTTAAGGAATGGGTAATTAAGTTTTTATCTTATCAATGTGAGGGAAGCCAGAAGTGCACACRATTCTCCCACTCGAMACAGCCGGACACAGATGCGCTTTAATCAAACGATTCAGCCTTTGCCTTCAGAAGACTTCAAAGTCAGGTTRGGCRTGGAGGAGGTCTGACCCGGGTCAGCAAGAGGTCCACTCAAAAACACTTACCTGTCCAGTAAGACTTCAAGTGGTTTTATTATTCCAGCGTCTTGTTGTCCTTCAGTTTGTTCGAAAGAGAATCACCACCAACYAGTTCCTCTTTCAGACTAAGAGGTTTCTCACAGAGGTTTTGCAAACTCAGTGGAGCCTCAAAAACTGATAGTTTGGTTCACGACTAATGGTGTCRTGGACCTAGGCTAAGATCAGCTCTTTAGCATGTGAGCTTATCTTATCCCTGAACACTGGATTCCCGGAGGAGGAAAAACCAGCTCCTCCTCGCTTGAAACGAAGACGGTGTCTGTCTGGGGAGAGGCTCATCCRGGTTCGTAACTACAAGAGAGTTCTAGCGGACGTGACCTCGAATCTAGTGTTAGTAACAGGTGGACTTAGAAATATTTAGTCTAAGAAATTTCAGTCGTCTGGCAAACACTGCCATAGGTCTGTGAAAACATCAGCACCTGCAGAACAACAAGTTCGAACCTTGGCAGGCTCGAACTACATGAGAATAAACTAAGAATTTAGTGAATTATTCAAACCAACATAAAACTTAAGATATTTTGTTTAAAATTAAGCACAAATAACCATATATATGTCATAGTAAAACATAGTTAACTAGACTATAGTTATTGTTTTAGTTAAATTAAAAAATAAAATGGAAAAACATATCACCTTATTGTCAAATAACAGTTGATTACTTATTTGCATAAACAAATAAAGAAACATTGGAACAATATCTTTTGTGTGTTTTACTTTTTCTGAATTATAATGAAAGAAAATATCTTGTCATTCATTTAAGAATGTAACTTTGATTTCTAAAATGATAACTTTTAGTTAAGAGAAAATATAAATCAAAAATATAAAGAACATTATTATTTTGTTTATCTTGATCAAAGAAAATAAAACGAAATAAAATGTCTCTTTACTGTTTAAGAAAACATGACTTTAAGTCGAACAGAGTCCTGTCTCTTTAAAGGAGGCCTTCTGAGATCAGGGTCAAAGACAGGTGGAACGTTTATTCCACCCCTAGGTGACCACTACATATGCTTAAATCTAACCTAAATACAMCTTGTAGTTACTTATATTTCATGATTAATCTTTTTCAAAGATAAAATAAGCACCATGAGTGAAGACTCTCTGTACTGCAGCCTCTTATAGTCATTGGGCCAACAGATGGAATGACTAAGTGTAAAAACTGTTTCTACATAGGATAATCATGGCAACAGCTGGTGGGCCAGTTCTGGCCCACGGGCCCCACTTTGGGCACCTCTGTTCTCTAACCCCCACCCCCAGGAGCACTTGGTCCCCACATACAGTAGTATCTGGTAATACCCGCGCCTCCCACCACCACTGACCTTGGCTCTGCGGAGTAGTCGAACCACGCTGATCCCCGTGGAGGCCAGCTCTCTACTGGGCATGCTCTGGAGGTAAGCGCACACGCACACCTCACACAGGTGCTGCAGACGTTTCACCTGGTACATCTCTGCACAAACCAGCACGGCCATGGCCTGCAGCACACTGGCTGGACACACACACACAAACACACATTCACACGTCGTCCGTTACTTCACTTATTTATCTAGTGTAAAACAGTACATGTTATAAAATAATGCACATGCATCCTTAGCTGGGCACATTTAAAAATATGTATTTTGCAAAGAAGAAAAGTTTCAGTTATAAGTGCAAATCTGGTAGAGATGAGCCTGAAGAACCAGCAGCTGTAATCGCAGCCAACGGTGGTCCTACAAAGTACTGCCTCCGGGGGGCTGAATACAAATGAGCACTGCACTTTTCAGATTTTTATTTAAAAAAATAATGTTGAAAACCATGTATCATTTTCCTTCCACTTGATAAATATAAGCACTTTTTCAAAAGGCATTTTTCCTGCAGCATGCTGCACTCCATCTGTGCAACATGTTGGATTTTCACACCGTTCACAGAAATCCTCTAACATCACAACACACAGTAATTAAAACACATTCAGCCATCTTTGTTTTAGCAAATGACACAGATTGTTGCACCATGGTAATCAGATCCAATTACCCCTGATGCAGCCCGGTTCATGTTATTCATGCAAAACACCACCTTCAGCAGCCCCCCCCACACACACACACAGACTCTCTGTGTGGCTGCTGCGCTGTCAGCTGAGCAGCAGCATCACCAAAGCTCCACTTCATCTCACTGCACAATTACCCAAATCAGCATTAAGTCCTTGTCCCTTCACAAGCTCACAACACATGATCCAGGTGAAATGCTCCGGCAGCCCCGCCTGCTTGACTCCTGACCCCTTTTCATGGACCCTCACACAGTTACCTTGTCCTGACCTTGAATGCTGAAATGCTGAGCTCTTATGTAACTGAGAGACGACCGCAGCCTCTGAAGCTGATTCATGTTTTTTTTTCCGTGAAGCTCGAGCTCTGGAAACTGGATTGTCCATCTGTGCACCTGCATCCTAATATCGCTTATTTTGCGTTTTATTTTATCGTTTTATTAAAAAGCTGCCACGAAATAATGTGATAATCAGCTGCTGGGAGCTGGTTAGCATTAATTTATTCTGATGATGTTTTATTTGTTTAGATTTATACCATCATATTTTAAAGGTAGAAAACTGATGAGGATGAGACAATCTGGAGTTGAATTAATATAAAAATGACTTATGTTGTTCTTATAGAATCTATAACAACCCTCAGATGTACTTTAATATAAGAGGCGTAAAATGGGGATTGTATCTTGCCTATGAAAAGACACAAACATACTTATATAGATGCTTTTATCAAAGGTCGTCATTTAAAAAGTATTCAGCAGGTGTTCAGCACTAGAGGACAGAGAATCTCTAAATAACACATAAAAAATAAATAAATTCAAAAAATAAAAAACCTATACTTCAGCATATTCAGCAGACCTGAACAGACAGCAGAGCAGGACCAACAGGAACTTTACAAACACGTTTTTCATACTGCAACAGGTCGGGACAACCATTCTGCTCAACACAACTTTACAGCTGCAGATGCATGGACAGTGTTGCTCATGACCACAGCGGTGACAATGAAACACAGTCTGACAGTGATGAAGAAAAAAAAACATGTTTGAGGCTGTGACTTGGCACTGTGAAAAGCAGCTGAAGCAGTGACGCCATAGGTTGATTATGAACCCACAAATTCTAATTTAATTTTAAGCTGAGTACTGTTCCCCGTGCACCTCCTGGGACCGACGCTGGCAGCTTGTTGCTCTCGCACAGATGGATGATGGGAGTTGTCATCTGCGCCTTTGTTTGGGGCTTAGTTTTTGCGATCAAAGCCCAGAGGAAAACACGAATGCACCAGTGTTTTCTCTTTTCTTCACGGGGCTCATTTCCACAGCGCGCAGACTGAATTTCATCTCTGTTACAAATTAATCAACTCTCTATTAGGTATTCACTTTTTTGGCTTGTCACTGTAATATACTCAGTTATGTTTACTACATTGTACAATCCTGCTAAAACTCACACAAACTCTGCTTTATTTTTAAAGGAGCCATATCCTGCTTTTAAAATTTTCACATTTAAATCATTGAGTTGGGGTCTATATAAAGTGAAACTGCAATATTTTGCTCTGAATTCCTCCTTATTATAGCTCCACAAGCCCCTCTTTCACCCCTTTACTGAGGTGTGTCTCAGATCAACTCGTTCTGATGCTGTCTCTTTACAAACAGTCCAAACCTCATTTGGCATTTTGTCCCAAATGACGTAATAGTTCAGAAAACATAATTGAGAATAGAGAAAACTGAACGGGTTGAAAAACATGACCCAAACAGAATATAAAGCTATCTTTGCAGCACCAGGAGAGACTAAATTCAACTTGTCTGCACTCCGAGACCCCAAGTACACAATAAAATGTATTTAAAGGCTAAAAAAAGTGTTTTTTTGCATGAGATGTCCCCTTTAAGGTATCAGGACTTCAGAAAAAGTATGAATCAGGTCTTAAACTGGGATACATAAAGTCTAAAAGAGTTTATTTCATTCTGAAGTTGAACTAAAACTGACAATTATAATGATTTTTAGAACAAACACATCTGATTACCATAATTCGTAGCCTGGCCCTTGTCTTCCTACACAGTTCTGCTCAGTTCTAGTTTCCCTTCACTTCTCCGTCTGGGATTTCTCACAAAGACGAGGATTTCTTCAGGTGAATTTTCGTCCGGGCCAATCAGAGAACAGAACGTCGATGTTCTGCACAGTGTCTGCTAGTTAGTTTAGCATACAGCTGTGGAGGAAGTGAATGAAGCCAGTCTGTGTTGATCAGGCTTCAAATTAAATTAAATTTGTCTAACAAAGCAGCAGCTCTCATTTACAGTCCTCTCATTCGGCTCGGTACTTTTTTCCTCTCAGTAGGATCATTTACAGCGCACGTGATTTCCGGTTAGCTTCTTAGCTTAGCCTTCTTCACAGTGGAGCTGGCGTACACATACAGATCCAATCATTTTAAACTTTCAACAGAGGCCACGCCTCCAGCAAGAATCACTTCTCTATAGCCGAGAGTCCAGACCCTCATACAAAGCAAAGTGAAGGACAAGGGTCTGGTTTTTACCAGGTTACATAATTTGTAGTTCAGCATTTTTTTTCATTCAGCAAATTTCTCTAAATGTGGGGAAACATTGTATTTTTCTATTGAATTTCAGAAAAAAAGACCACATTGTGCACATTGTGCGGCTTTAAGTGAAATGAATGAAGTGTTAAACTGGCTAAAAAAAACCATATCGGTTTATTACATAAATTTTATTCACAAATTGCAGAAATCTGAACCAAAAAAAAACTGCTTAGATAAACTTTTCCTATTGTCATTCTAACTATAAATCTTCACTTGAAATGCAAGAACAAACTAAATAAAACTGTGAAAATGGCAAGCAAAATAGTAGGAAAACCTTGAAGTGTGTGATCCACCTCCATACTAACAGGAAAACGAGTAAAGCTAAGAGAGTTATTGCAGATAGTAAACACCCTCTTTTTAGTCAGCTGAGCCTCTGAAAGAGATGCTTTAGAGTTCCTCTGGCAAAAAGTATTTTAAAAAATATTTGTCCCAAAATGTCGTCATTATTCTCAATCAAACCTAGTGATAACATGTACAGTATATCTGACTGAAATGCATACCTTTTGTATGAATGTAAGTAAGTAAGTGAATGGGTTTTCATGAACTTGTTTTATTAACTTTTTTATAGGTTTTTAATGTTGTGTTTGATATGTTGTTATTCTATTTTATTCTATTACCATGTTCATTTGGGTCAAAGCTACAAAAGATCCTGCCTCAGAAGAACAACAGATGATGTGTCACGCTGTGTTTTTAATTGTTTGCTAACAACTAAGCGAAAATTCAGGGCCTGCCGGAGCAGCCTGAGGACTGTGTGTGGTGACCTCACCAGGACAGCACGAGTCGGTGTACAGGTACTCCAGGAAGGACAGGAAGGTGTCCGAGGAGACCCCGTGGATGGGAACCACTCTGCTCCGAGCCTCTGCGTACTTCCCGCTGAACATGGCCGCCATCACGTCGCAGCGGGCCACCAGCACTGCCCGATGGGCGGGCAATACGCTTCCTGCGACACACAAGAATGGTTTCTTTCTGAAAAATMGTGCAAATCTTTTACTTGAGCTAATCATCTTGAAACAGATTGGCAAGAGTTTCATTAAAATCTGTTTAGTGGTTCATGAGGTATTTTACAAACACTACAGAAAAATGAATTTGTTGGCAGGTGATAAAAACATGTAAAGTCCTGACATTGTCTCTGTCAGTAAGTTTACCACCAAAGTTCTGCTCGAAACAATAGATCGGGTAAAAAAAAAAGTAAAAGATCGTTTTCTTTAACCTCTAAAAGTTTAACTCTTAGCTCTGAAAGTGAACAGTCAGAGCCGGCTCAGTGCATTTTTATGAGATAAATATTGATCAGGAAAGGCTTTTGTCTTTCTCAGTTAAATAAAGAAGAGGAGCTTTTGTTGGGATTAAACAGAAAAAAAATCACATCACTGCAACAAGTTTATCCTATTTAGGCTTCAAATGGACAAGCAGGCTGGTCTCTGAGATCATAATTCAGTTCTGTGTGTGTGTGTGTGTGTGTGTGTGTGTGTGTGTGTGTGTGTGTGTGTGTGTGTGTGTGTGTGTGTGTGTGTGTGATCAGTCTGATCCTACCTTGCACCATGAAGATAACATCAGAGAACAGAGGGGAGTTGAAGAGATTGACAAGTGTCTGCGGGCCGAGCTGAGCCGCCCGTGCACTCGGTGTGTCCCTGGGACCCTACACACACACACACACACACACACAGGGGAGACGGCGCCCAAAGCAAGAAGAATTAGTCATCAGGAGTTTAGCATTTCTCTGCTGCACGTCAGCTTCTCGTTACTGGCAAAATTGTCATGCTGAGCATCCACTGCGCCTCCTCTGAAGAATACAGATGGCTCCTCTGCCGGTCTTGAGGGGTGCTACAAAAACACATTTGAACTGCAATGTCAGGAGTGACAAGACTGGAACTGACTACTACTGAGAACAGAGCAGGAGCCAGACGCTGGGCCAGACCAAGTATTTTCCAACCGTGCGAGCTCATTTGAAGTTTTTCAATGAATGAGTGACGCCAACGGTGAGCTGTGCATTGTGCACATGGTCAAMAGCAGAGCATCATAAAGCAGCCCATTATCACTGCACGACCTTTATCAGTCCACTGAAGCACAAACGGCACACATTCCCACAGTGCTCTGCTGCAGGGAGACGAGCAGATTTTCTTTTCCCACTGGAGAGAGATTGCCTTTGATTCTGGAAATCCACRAAAAGCTCACTGAAAGTAAAAATCTACTACTTTCCCAGAGCCGAGACAGGCCCCCTGAGGGTGTTTGCAAGAGGAACACGTCAAACCCTGACAGGACATTATGGTGTCTCATCACGTTAAAGTGRCCCCTCTATCTCTGTGTGTCAGCTTGTCTCAACACCGCCTCAGGTGGAAGTCCCACTTCTGTCCTCCAGGCCTGGGAGCCCGTTCCCCGGTGCCAACAGGGGCTTGTCAGATGCAACCATGTCATATCTCCCTCACTAAATGTTAAATTCTGATGCTTTTTTTACATGTCGCCACCACATGCTTTCTAAATATAGACACGAAAAAATACAACTGGCGTTCACGTCTGGCGTAAGAGTAAAGTCCTCCCAGGTCTTGTGTTGTGCTTCTCCTTGGAGAAAATCTTTTGTTTATTTAGTGCAAACTCCCCGAGTATCTGCGAGGTGATTAGAGGCACTAATTATGTAAATATGATAATTATAGACACATTATTACTGCACAGATTTAAAACTGGATCTTGCTCATTAAGGCAGTCTCAGTCTGCAATATTCAAGTAGGGCGTTTAGTAGTTTACCCCATATTACACCTATGATATAATATGGCTTTTCTGTCCATTAAATTATATTTAATTAGAGTTATTAAAAAAAAGGCTCTCACCCTGTCTCTGCCGACAAGGGAGCGTATGCGCTCCATAAGCTGAGCCACAGCGAGCGAACTCTTCAGCTTCTCCTCCAGGGCCTCCTGGAGGTGCTCCCACTCCCACGCTCCTAAAAAAAACATACACACACACAACCATCCACAGTCACACTGATTCTACAGGTCCTCAGCAGTACAGTCTTCAAAAACACACACAGGCAAACTATTTTCTAGTTGGCACTGCACTCTGACCACCCACATACCTTACACCAAACACTCTGTTTTTGTCTACGTCAGTTTATATAATCTTTACTTTTTATGGGTGCAGCAAGAATCTACAAATATAAAGAATGCAGAGGAAAGAAAAGGCTTCAGTATAATACAGTCACTTGCTGCTATTTATTTATTCAAGATGTTAACTTTAGCTCAGCGTTCTTTAAACTTTTATGTTTAGAGTAAACTGTAGAAATAAATGTGTAAAATTTTGCACACTGATATAAGTAAAGATAACCTGAGTGCCTAATGTTACAACACTCTTCAGACTAAATTATTTACTTATTAACCTTTATTTAACAAGCAGGCAAACCCCATTCAAATCACAGATCTCTTTTGCAAAGGAGCATAACACGCATGTTGTTGGACTGTGGGAGGAAAGCAGAGAAAACTCATGTCAACCCAGAGAGAAAGACCCCAAGTCCAAATTGGAGACAGAACCAGGACCTTCTTGCTGCGAGACAACAGTTACCCACTAATACCACTGTGCTGCCAGATTAGGACTGTGTGACACATAAAACACACTTTCCAGTGTTTTTCCTGGCAGTCTGCATGGTGCCCTCACCAGGATTTCCATCTATTGGGTAGAGGGTTGAATGGGCRGATGTGGTGCAGTGGTAGGAAAGTCACCTTGGGACCAGGAAGTCACAGGTTTGATTCCCTGCCATGCCCACATGTCGACACCTAATCCCTAACTGTTCCCCAGRTGCTTACATAGCTGCCCGCTGCTCCACTTGGGTGAATCTCATGTATGAYGGGTCAAACATTTTTCACTGCATGGGAACATTGATGACACCATAACTAAAGTTAAAAGTAGCAAATGTCAAACTCTCCAATATATGCTCCACATCACACACATCTGTTGTCACCTCGGTTGTTCACACTTCACCTTGAAGCCCAACGGGCTGCCACCAGGACAATAACTACTGTGGCCTCAGTACAGAAGTCTTCTTTATGCTCAAAACTATCCTGGATCACCAAAATCCTGCCAAGACCACACACGTTCTGACTTATTTTATATGTCACAAAAAAGTCATATTGTTGTGTGAGCRTTTCTTGTTTAAATGATCGAGAAGAATCAGGTGAAGTTTAAGACACCCTGAACTCTCAGTCGTGTTTTAAGCTTGTTACGGTTGTGGTTTAATCACAGTCGCTGTTACTAAAAGACCAGAGCTGTGTGAAATCTCTTAACTCTTGTAAACTAGTTCAATTAGTCACAGTGGGCTCCTTTATGCAGCTGCTCAGCACTTTGGAAATTTAAATAATTGATGCAGACAGAGCAGGAGAAGTCTATAGAGGCAGAATTTTAACCAGTTGTTTTCTCAGCTTGTAATATCATTAAACATAGCATCTAATATATATTAAATATATGATATGTGACCCATCACATCGAAACGAGGAATTAAGTCCAAAAGTGGTATATGGAGAAATAGGCAAATATAGTGTTTTGGCTAAAATGTTAACAAAAATTGCATTTTGTCAAAATATAATGAATAAATGCCTTATTAATGTATCATTTGAATGAACTGTATGAAATTTAATCATAAAACAAAATGTTGAAGGACTTTTTTGAGCAGTAGCAACAAAAAAATTGATTTTGAGGAAAAACGCCTTAAAATTTTGAATTTTTCCCTGTGAGTTAGCAAAGCTGTGGTTCTTTTTAGCTGGGAAATCTCAATATTCAAATATAATTTGAGGTTTCCTCTTTATAAGGACATCAAAAATTCCTCAATAAAATGACATCAAATTAGGATTCAGACCAAATATTTATGTATTATCGTAACCAACAAGACAAATTAAGTCATATATATGGATTTAATTAAGATATCAGAATGATCCAGGTATCAAAATGTAGCTTTTAAAGCCAAGAATCTGAAAATGTAATTAGGTCATTTTGACCAAATTTGACTTAATCCTCATTTTGATATGATGGGTCACAAATATGGAAGAAAGGAAAAGAAATGTCTGTGAGAAGAGCTGTCTGACTACAACATTTCAGGGAAGTTTCTTAGTCACCTCAAACTCAATGAATAATCATCCTTGTGAGACAAAAGTTGAAAGTTTTCCTTTGTTGTCACCGTCACATGAACTGAACATCAATCTAAATGTGTAAATAGACCTCAGGTGAAAGCCTAAAATAGTATTTAAATAAAGAAAATCTCTCAGCTGGCTTTCAAATCTGTTTGTGTTCCTGAAAAACTGACTTTACAGATTTACATTGAAACTAAAAGGTGGAGGAAAGAAAAAAGAGAAATGTTTCGAATACATAAAAGTCATGCCCTTTTAAGCTTCAGTTCATCTAAAAATTAAATAATTTAGCTAATATTAGCTTTTTATTGAAAATGCAGTACYTAAACTTTTCATCCACTGATTTTTATTAACTACAGTAATGCTTTTTGAGTTAAATGGTCTATAATGTTCATCATTTTCTTTTGATATATTGCAACACATTTATGTTTTAATGAATTCCTGCACAGACATAAAAATAAATAAAAAAACACGTGAGCAGACCAAACACCAGCTTGCATGTTTTCAGACACCTTTTCTCACTCTCTGGGCTGACAGTGGACTTCAAGTCAGAAGGAAAGAAGCAGAAATGAGCTCATCATTTGTTATAATCTGGGCTGATAGAAGGATTACCTGAACACACCGTGCACAGCACAGACAAGCTCAGGTGAAAGGTGAACTCAGCAGCTGTTCTGCTGATAAACAAAATACTGCATCCAGAAACAAAAAAACACCGCAACAGATGGAAGTGAAGAAAAAAACAGTGTATATAAAAAGAAGCAAAAGCTGCAAAGAACTATCATTTCAATATTTTACAAATGAGTAGTGGTGTCCCAATACAATTATTTATGTTGGTATCTGGCCTGATACCAGCCTCAAATAATTATACTTGTGTTCATAAAAACAACASTTTTATGTTTGGTGATGTCACTTAGAGCAAAAAGTTAAAAAAAGGTTGGTAGTCTGGAGATGTTTTAAGATAAGACAGTAGACTGGCGTGTTCTCAATAAACATGTTTCTAAAGTCGTTGAGTAATGTTTAATTAACTCATTATAACTTACTCAGTAATGGTACTCAGTAGCAGCAAGTACCCAAACTGAAGTACTTGTACACAGTCTGAAAGAAACTAGTATTGCGACACCCCTACAAATACTGATCTGTATTGATTCATATCAATGTCCAACACAATGAAAAAGAAGGCAGAAGCAGTTTATGCAGATTAAAACCTATTTTCAAAATGTTTTCCTTAACTTTCCTTTTACCACGACTTTAAAACCTCCACACATTCAGCCACGTCCCAGCGAATACAAAGGGTTGTTGGTGTTTCTCATTTAGCTCCACACAGTGAGTAAAGTCACCCATAAAACACCAACTTGTCCCATAAAATCCAAACCTTTACAAATGTTCCACGTTTGCTAGAAACTGCACAACAACTGCACCTAAATGACAATGCTGATAATTCAGCAGCAGACTACAAAAGGAGACAAAGTCTCAGAGTGTTAATGTCACGCAAAAAAGAGTCATGGCCTCTGTGGCTGTCCTCCCACACTAAGTGTGGAACAACACAGTGGCTGTGACGTTGTGTGTTGTTACGTGACGCTGGAGAGGAAATAGTTCTTAGAACTTTAGTAACTCAAGCTGCAGATGAGGAAAAGAGTGTAATCAAATAACAAACCAAAGATTTTTGCTCCAGTTTAAGAAAGGCATTTCCTATTGGACGTTTACAGCAAATGAACATTTGCTGTTTGCTTACTGAGCAGCCTGCTTCTGTGCATGATGAAAACACTCATGGACATCTGATCAGTGATAGGTGAACAGTGTTTGACATCGCAACTTATGGTAGGACTCTCCATGGTGAAGGTTATCTTGTAATAGAGTTTGGAAAAATCGTATCGTGTGCAATTAATCGTCAGAAAAATTGTCACCATTTAATATGTACCACTTTGTAATTACTGCAATTAGTGATGATGATGTATTTTTGTGTGCGACGCCATCTCACTATCAAGCACGTGTGAGACCAAAGGCGGAAGGCGGCACGGAGCAGCTAACCTTTCTATGAACTTGTTTAATCACCTGAAACATCGCTATGAGGATTACGAGAAAAGCCACAAGATGTGGACCAAGCTACAACAAACTCTCCTCCAACAAATCTACTCAGCTCAGATCCACGATTCACTCAGTCAATCTATCTCTTATGAGCCACAACGTTAATGCTTGAAAGCAATAGCTCAAGCTGTGGCCACCCCACATTGAAGAAAAGTTTCTTTTTCCCATCGCAGTTTGCTATTTTAATCTGATTCAAATTGATTTTCATTTTAACCTGTTAAAATTAAAGAGTTAATTTGACTGATGAKTTGTAAGTCTAATTCTACAATACAGGKTAACTTATTTAAAGCCARAAACATTCAAGTGCAGTTGTCATCTATTAATAATCAGACAGTATTAAATCGCTATTAGCTAAATCGTGATTCATTTTTTTTTGCCASTTTCATCCAACTGATTCAACATAAAACTCAACATTGACACAGTGGCAGTTTATAAATAATGACATCTGCATTCCACCTTCCCAGCCACCCCTCCCCCACCCACACACTCACAAATATGTATTTTTACACCTATTAGGACAGTATAGACAGTACTGAGGACAGTTTTCATTTATTCATTTCTATAGCCCAACACTGACCTTTAAACCTTATCTAGCTTTATTACACAATACATATCTAACACTAACCCAACCCCGAATACACATCTTAGCCCCAAACCTAGCCTGGTTTAAACCAGACCCTGTCCTTCACTTTGCTTCATACAAGGGTCTGGACTTGATGCATAGAGAATCGATTTCTTGCAGGAGGCGTGGCCTCTGCTGAAGTTTAAAATGATTGGATCAGTTGGCTGCGACGTATGTCGCTGTGACGGAGGCTAAGCTAAGAAGCTAACTGGAAATCACGTGTGCTGTAAACAACCCTGCTGAGAGGAGAGAAGTACCGAGACAGCAGAGAGCTGCTGCTTTGTCAGACAAGTTTATTTTAATTTGGAAGCCTCATCAACACAGACTGGCTTCATTCACTTCCTCCACTGCCGTATGCTAAAATAACTAGCAGACACTGCGCAGAACATCGACGTCGTTCAAATCTCCTCCTTCTGTTTGCTGATTGGCCCAGGTAAAATAAACTACAAGCAGACACTGCGCAGAAAATTGACGTTCAAAACTCTGCCTTCTGTTTGCTGATTGGCCCAGGTAAAATAAACTACAAGCAGACACTGCGCAGAAAATTGACGTTCTGTTCTCTGATTGGCCCGGCTAAAATTCTGCCAGTGAAATCCTCGTCAATGGGAGAAGTCCCAGATGGAGCAGTGAAGGGAAACTAGAATTGAGCGGAGCTGCGTAGGAAGGCAAGGGCCAGGCTACCCCAAACCTAACCCCCAATCTAAAATTGTGTTCCACCATATTAGCTCCAGGTTTTAGTCCTCTAAAGATTTACTGATCCTGACAAAGTGGGTGTGTAAACCAAAAACCCAGGTATGCTGGTGTAGATTCTCACTCCTCCAGGACATGGTAAACACCCCCCCCACAAAAAAAAAAAAACAATTAAGAAACAAAACTGGACTCCTATTATGAAGTTGAAGACGTTTTGCTTCCCATCCGAGGAGCTCTCAATTCAAAACTGAAGAGTGTGGAGTTCCAAGCTTATAAACTGCATGAGAAACTCAGTTATGTAACCTGGAGTCACATGTGTAGATTAAAATACACACCTCACACGATGGGGGTTCCCTGTTTGTCTGGCTCACAAGAAAGATGTTTTGGTCGCTTGCGTGAAGGTGTGGATTAGAGTGAAACTGACTGGGTGTCAGGCTCAATGCTGTGTTGTGATTTATATGCAGAAGCCTGTCAATCACCCATTCATTCCCATCAGGTGTGCTGGAGCAGAGAAACCTCTAAAATGTACAGGATGCTGGCCCTCGAGGACCAGGATTGGACACCCCTGGTGGAGACCCAAGACTCCAAYAGTGTCTTCTTACACAACCAGAGAAATGTAGCCTCTCGCTCTTCCTCCTCCTCCTCAAACACGTCGCCTCTCGTCTCATCCTCACATTCTGCCACCTTTATTTCACACCCTGTACAGAACTTTTCCTTTGCTTTCTTTCTCCTGAAACACACACACACACACACACACACACACACACACACACTGGGACTTGCACTACAGCACGTACGTCTTCCTATTCCAACCGTTTGCTCTCTTATTTTTATTCATCCAGTCTAGCAGACTCAAACTCACACTATAATCTTCCTCCCTTCTCTTGCTCAGCTTTCCCCTGCTCCCATTTTTCATGCATCCACCTCTTGGGTTTACGTGTCAGAGCACCGGYGCTGCTACATGTCAAACAGGCAGCCACGAATCAGATGCTAGAAAGCCTTTTTTTTTTTTGCCGTAAGGATTTGAGCTCTCTGTGTAGAGCCTGTTGCGGAGGGGCTGACGTGCACGGTGATCTAACATGGAGCGTGCACGTCTCTGCAGACTCCAAGCCTGAGAACGAGCATTCGGAGTATTAAGTGCCTCTACTTCAAATGTGTCCAGTAGGATGCACTGCACCAGCACACACCAATAACCATGTAGCTAATAAATGTCGCAGGAACTCGTTCCGGACGTGTCCCAGGACCTGCTTCACTGCGGAGTTCATCACCGCTCACACCARTGTGACTCTGAAACAGGTTACAGAGTCAGATTCTATTCACTAATCCCGTTAGCCGGTCAACCAGTGGACATTTCTTTCCATGGACGAGCCGAGTCCTCTCTGATTTCCATTGTGACGGATAGACCCGAGTTCGGAGGAGACACGGAAAACGCACCAGGCAGCAAAGAGCAAACATGGGTTCAAAAAGCACGCCGGGTTAAAGCCACTAAATGAATAATCAGCTCACTGATACTACGGTTGCCTCCCATCAAGTGCTTTCARTTTGACAGATTTCTGTTCCTGAGCATAATGGACCGTTGGACGAGGCCCAATAGGAGACCGATGACCTGCTACTGCCAGGGAGCATTTATCTTCACATCTAAATTATTAGAAAATGACTAAGTGCTCCAGTGGAATGAAGCTCCCATATTATGAATGTCAGTCCASCTCTCTTAGCAGTACTTCTGGAATGTGTTTATATTCACCAAGCAGGCTGAACGACATGCCTTGCAAAAAAGAAGAAAGAAAAAAAAGGATGAATGCTGAAGAATGGTAATATAAAAGGCATTTATGTATACTGCAGTAGAAAATAAGTGATTTTTATAGAGCGTGATGTCAGCGAAACGTCTGAGCCATCCTTTGAGAGTTTAGATTTGTTTTGATGAAGGCGCTGTTAGTGAGACCCTTTTGTCTTCCCTGTTTTCCTCTGTTTGGCACTTCCTGTGCGTCTGATCCGGCTGCCAGAATGTCAGTTTGGACCGATCGAGAGGGGTTTTAATCAAAAGGGACGGCGGGCGTTCTTTGTTCTGCGGCTCCATTGTTGCGGTTTAATGTCGGTCCAGCGTTTAATACACACATAACTCAGAGGCATTCATTAGAATTCAATGCTTAAACTCACGCCCTTATCAGAGACTCTCTAACACGGCTGCWTAATTGTTTTTTAATAACCACACTGACCGAGAGGATTAAAGACCCGTATCAGTGGAAATGTGTCAATTGTGCGGTACAGTAATTGATTTTAGTCATGCTAGCAGCACAAACATGTCGACGGTGACAACTTGAGCAGGTTCCCCACCTCATATCAGACTGAATTAGTGGATAAACTCATACAGGTGTTCACAGATGCTTAGTATCAATTAGTGTCAGGATGTTTCAGTAAAAGGATGTTGKGTTAGCTTAAATTAATTTGTCTTTTTGTTTTGTGGTTGTGAATAAATATCAAGGAAYATTCAGCTTTGAGAAGGTGCTGTTTATGTAAATCTTAGATCTGTGTTTTGCATAAATTGATGATAGTCCTAAAATATGTCATGAGTTGTTCCTCATTAACATTGATTTAGTGACTAAGCAGCATGAAACAGTAACTATGTTTATGACTTATTAAGCTAAGATTATTTATTCTGTCTGTGTGAACGGAGTGAGAAGTTCCTCAGTTTCTCTGTCTTCTGGATCCCCTCACGCTCAGTAACACTTAGAAAAGTAACAATTAAAAATAATTTGGTATTTTCTTTCTCACTTTTGCAATATGTTCCACCACATGATTCTCAGAATTAAATTATCTTTGAACCACACATACATTAGGATACAAAATCTGTTTTTATATTTAATTTCAAATCGAGGCTCTTGCAGAATGCACAGAGAATGGTTGGCTAAGACAAAAAAAAGAAGCTAAATAAAATCTATAATTTACTATCTAATAGGGGACATATGCAAAATCTAATTTTTTAGCTGTTAAATACATTTTGTTGTGCTGCAAAKATATCTTTATATTCTGTTTGGATCTTATTTATCAACTCGGAAAGTTTTCTCTATTTTCTATGGTGTTTTTTGAACTATTACGTCATAGTTTTTGCGACAACTGCCAAATAAGGTCTGGACTTACCAATTATAATTTGCTGGTCTTCATTCTCCTCTGGCTCTGGGTCAGATTCTGGCTCCAACATGTGAGGCTGGATGGACAAGTCTTCCCTTGCTGACGTCTTTTAATTAAATTGTAAAAAAGAAAAAGAAATGGTTCTGCACAGCTATATAGTCGTAAACCCCTCTTTCAAGCTGGAGGGAACCGGTCTGGAAGCAGGAGGGGGTTGAGGTGTGAAGCGCCTCGTTTGGATTTAAAGAGACAGCCTCAAAACGAGTTGATCTGAGACACACCTCAGAAAAGGGGCGGGGCTTGTGTAGTAACAACAAGGAGGATTTCAGACCAAAGCATTGCAGGTCCACTTTATATMGATCCCAATTGAGTTATTTAAATGGCATTAAAATAACTTTAAAAGAACTTTAAAAGTTGATTCTGTTTTTAATTTTCTCTTTTTACATTTTATATGGTTTAATAATTATTATATTGTTTTAATTTAACTAACGGGACACAAACCAGTCCTGGAGTAATCAGTAATAAATGTAGTTAGTGTTCTCAGCTGCTCAATGTTTGGATCAGAGTTYATCAGGAAACAGTGGTTGATGCGTGAATAAATAATAATTTAGTAATGAGTCACTTGTTCAAAATGAAATTATGATACCGTTTATGAAAAACATCAACTGTAAAGTTCTAATTTATGATGCATTTTTTAGTAATCCTAAATGATTTGTGTTGTGCAGTGGTTCCCAAAGTTGGGGTCGGGACCCAAAGTGTGGTCCTGAAACATCAAGATGGGGTCCTGAAAAGATTTTCTAAATTAATTACATTTTTGCCTTAGTCGCCTAAAAAGTATAAATGTAGAATAATAAATATTGTTACTATGCCCATGTTTAGTTGACCTGATACAAATGTTTATCATCCAAAAATAGCTGGAGGCTCAGGTCTCTGCTGCTGTTATTTTGTGGGTCAAAAGCTGAAAAGTTTAGGAACCACTGCACTTCAGAAATCAATTTAAAAGGGTAATAAAATAATTGGTGATGTAATATGTTCCCTTTAATTATTACAAAAACACAAAATAAGTATAAATAAATATTTATATTTGTGTAGCCTTTGTTTTTAGGGTTATTAACGAAGTTCGTGTACTCAGACCAGTAATATTTGGGGTCACAAGTTTTTGCAATGAATAGTTTGTGGGTCAGAAGATAAAAAGTTTGGGAACCACTGGTTTATAGGAACCAATAAAAATCAACTTATATCTGATTGGTGGGCTCACCTCTGTAGATGAACATGAGAGTCTCCCACAAGCACATACAGAGGAGGGGGTCCTTCACCACCAGCCGAGTGAGGCGTCCCRTCAGGTGCCCGTCTGACCTCGGCATGTCGTCGATGATGCTTCCATCCCAGGTGGAGAGCAGCGAATGGGGTCCTCCGTCTCGCTCTCTGCAAACGCACCGTGACTGCGGACGCTCCCTGTCCACGCAGGAAAAGACTCAGGGCTCAGGACGTTCAAAACAGCGATTGTGAAGCGATTGTGGACGAGCAGACGTGTCTCCCCACCTGGTCTTGGGCCCCAGGAGCAGCTGTCTGAAGTACGGGCTGACGGCACACAGCACGGCTGCGTGGGCCCAGCCCAGTTCTTTACCGGAGTCGCCGGCGTAGAAAGCCACGTCGGCGAACTGCACGCCTCGCTCCAGGAGCCACTGCATGTCCTGCGAGAAGCTGGACTCCTCCACTCGGATGGGAGGAAGACGAGCTGGAGGAGTGGAGGACGAGAGAGCGAGGCAGAAAGCAAGAGAAGAAACTCAGCTTTATTCCTCAAAACACACAAGAATTTCTGCTTTTTTCACAGCCTACAAAGAATCCTGTCTTCTTTTATTATTGATTCCTTCTACTGACATGAAGTTTAGTTTGAAAAGAAATGATTCTGACAAAAGAAARGTATTTTCTTGCTGTTCAAGTGGGGAAAAAAAGCATTTTTTAAGAAGGCAAGTTCAGATCGCTCCACTGGCATCTGTGTGACTGAAATGACATCAAGTTAGGTTTGAACACATTTTGCTGAAAAACAAAACAAAAACAAAGTACACCCTCAGCGCTCATGTTGTGTTTTACGACTCGTGAACTAACAAAGTCACAAAGCAGCGTCGGTTCTTCACACACGTCCCGTCACATTCCTGCTTGTTTATAACGCACACAGCACCTCTTCATACCTCACGCCTCCTGTTAGGGCCACTCTCAGCTTGAAAAACGGTGCTGCTCCTGAATCAGGGATGTCAGATTTAATGTAAGCTGCACCATAATTTGAGTTAAGTGGAGTGGGACAGGCGCCGATAAATCCACCAGCACTAGCTGCCATTTTTGGCAGGAAGTTACACTCTCCGTTACAGCTTCAGATTTAAACAAGACGCAGCGGCAAAGTGGTCAAATCAATCTTCAGCACTAACCTCACAGCTTGATTTGAGCAAAACGTGATCGCCCGCCTCTGAAAGGAGAAGGCGGATGATAATGTTTGTGTGTGTCTGYTAGCAAAATATCTCAAGAATCAATGGATACATTTCACTGAAACTTGCAGAAAATAATCAATGCATGTGCATCTACAACTGATTAATTTTTGGAGCCAATCCAATTCAAGATGGCTGCCACAGCAACCTAATTTTAACAAACACAAAAATGGTTTTAATTGAGCCAGTTTTGCAGATATTGAGCTACAATTTGGGTTAGTAATAGCTAAGACTAGTTTACAACACATACTCTAAATGCTATTCATTGCTCAAGTTTTTTTTGCCTAGAACTTCAGCATTAAATAACGGAGTCAACTCTGTGACTGTTAGCAAAATATCTCATGAACAACTGAAGGGATTTAGATGAAACTTACAAAACGTAATCACTTGATGTACATCTAAAACTGATTAACTTTTCTATACAATTCAAGATGGCCACCACAGCAACCTTAACAAACATAAAAATGGCTATATTTTGTCTACTTTTATAAATATTGACCTACGTTTTTGGTGAGGCAGTAGCTAAAATTCATCCTCAACATAAACTGTGAGCAATAACAAACTGCGCTAGATATTTGCTTAAAATGTGCAAAGACCTATTTGAAGTGGATCTATCTGTTAGCAAAATAGCTCATGAACCACTRGATTGATTTTAAGGAAATTCACAGAAAGTAATCGTTGGACGTACATCTACAGCTGATTAATTTCTGGAGTTGATCACATTCAAGAGGCCAACACAAAAATAACAATAATTTACAGACAGAGCTAAAATTTTGATTTTGTTTTGGTTGAGAGCCCCTCAAACAGGGGTGTAAATCTCCAACACAAACTCTGAGTCTCATAATACAACATGAGATGGTGCAAAATTATAATTTCAAGGTTTAACCAAAGTGGCGATAACTCCACCAGCAGTGAGTGGTATGCGTGCTGGGCCTCTAATATTTAGATGTTTTTATTTTGCACAAAATACATTAAAACAAAAAAAAACAGCTCAGAGCAGGTGGTTGCTGTGAGCCCGACACACCTTCCACAGTTCAGCCCTGATGATAAATAATAAAACTGCTGGATCTAAACTCCACACTGAGAAAATGTTCGGTTTGTAACGACATCCAGTAGGTAAAAAGGATAGATGGTTTTAAATTTAATTTAACATATTTCATTCAGTTACAAGAGACTGACACAGTCTAAAAAAATACAGAATATAAAGATAAGCAGGAGGCTGCAATGTTTCTGCCAAGCACTGCTGTTGGCTTATTTCTTTGAAGCTTTGCTCCAGTAATCAAACTTCCTGTCTCTAAGCTGCTGGCTGGATCTGAATATTTCTGCGAGTTTTATCCTCCTTCCATCAGCACGGTCATTTATCCCCTCATAATTGGCGTGTTTTGTGTTTGCGGAGCTTGAACGGCTTAGAGGCCTTTTGATTAAGTCTGCAATAGATCTGCGAGTGAGCAAATGTTGAGACAAGAACATGAAGAACGCTCCACGACTGCCTTGTTTTGAAGCCTAATTGAATTCTACCATAAAAAATTTATAACGTGCATCACATGTTGGACAATTAGTAATAAAACGGCGACATGTTCTTTACTGCTGAACCGTTTGATTACAGTTTCATGAAAAAACAAACAAAAATTTTGTTAATATGCTTATGTTTTGGAGGAAATAGAAAGTTTATTCCCATAAATGTCTCTATTCTCAAGAAAAAGTTTCCAACTTGGAAAATCCCTGGAATTTTGCAGCCCTATGAGCAACATTACTTTAACTAACTAGTTAATTATTTCTCTGCAGCATAACTTCCTAAAACATATAAATAGATGCAGATTTGGTAATAAATACCTCAGTTTAAATCAGATGGAACTGCACTACAGCAAGCACTGTACTAATTAGACAAAAGTGGCAAAGATCTAATTTCACTGACAAACTTTGGTCAGATTTAAGTCCGACAAGTCATTTTCTCACATTTCCCAACAGTCTGGTTAACTTTGGCACTTAACGCTCAGTTGTTCTCCTCGATCAATTGAAATGTCTCTGAAAGAAAAGAAGTCTACCTCGCTTTTTTGTCTCTCTTTCTATTTCCTGTCTGAAGTGGAGCTTATTGATCCACATAAAACCTTTGTGCTCAGCCGTTTTTATGGCGATGCGGGCACAAGAGAAAACAATCCACTCAGTCCACTGAACGCTCACTAAACACGGTGATGAAAAAAGATCTGACGCAAAGACAAAGATTGGACTCATGGAAATCGAAAAGACACAAATGCACGTGAGTTTGACTAACAGCAGCATCCATCATCAGGCGGCGTAGTATTTCTCTAACCTGGTTGCTCTAAGTGAGGKGGGCGGAGCTCGCTCACTTTGTTTCCTCGCCTCTTCTCGGGCCTCTCTTTGGCTTTGTGCTTCAGACACTGAATCATGAAGTACTCGAGCTGCGCAGAAACAGACACACGTTAGGGCAGGCGCGGGGCACCGAAATGATTTAGCCGCTTCCCAAGCTGCATCCTCCTCGCTTACCACGCTGCCAAAGTAGCGGCCGACAAAGACGTGATTGAGAGAGGGCAGCTCCAGATAGGTGGCACCCAGGTCCCGGGAGAGCTGCAGACCTTCGCTGTGAGGCACACAGCTGCTCCAGTCCGATGCACACAGTGGGCACGTACAAGGAGGGCCTTCATCTGAGCGCAGCCAGGAGGGAGGAGAGTCAATCATACTGCATCGAGCTTTTTGGAAAACATGAAACTAGTATACAGTGAGATGGCAAAATGAGATAAAAAAAAACAGAATATATGACTTAATGAGCGGTGGAGCTCAGTGTTGCTGTTCATACCTGCCATGGATCAATGCAAACTAAGGACAGAGCTGAGACAACAAAGTTTTACACATCACAGGACACACTGCTAGCCTCTGTGTAAACATGCTCCTCCCTCCAATTTTTTAATTTTATTTTTTGCATCATTTGGAACTGGAATTGACCACATCTAAGCCGGAGAAATGTGGAACAAAGAGCATGTTTTTGTGAGACTGTGAGTGATGCGTTAAACAAAAAATAAACACGCTCACATTACCTGATTCCCTGCAAAACAATGATTTCAGTCATGTGCTGAATTTTTTATTAACCAGCTAATTAATAGGGGTGCAACAATACATGTACCCATATCGAACCATTCAGTACAATGCTTTAGGTTCAGTACACACTATGTATCGAACAATACAGATTTTTTTAAATTTATTTTATCATCTTGACTTCTGAAGAATCAGAATCAGCTTTATTGTCATTCACACACAACATCAAAGATGYAGAACAAAATTGCAGTTAAGGACACCTGTTCGAAGAAAGACACACATGGCAAACATGGGGGAACGGATGGACAGGTCTTGCACAACATGGTTGCGCTACCTTTTGCAGCTTGGAAAATAAAACACACAACAGGATAGGTGAGTTCAAAAAAAGTTGCTCTGATCCTATGTTTACCCAGAAACACAGACTCATGTGCACAAAAAATGACTTGCAAGAGCAAGACAGCTAAGGAGGGGAGGGAGCTGGGGATCAAACACATGGTACGGGGGCGGGATTCAGTGGAGCYGGTGATGTTCCAGGTTGATACTCCGTGCTGGACCAATCCAAGACCCATCAGAGTAGAGAAACCAGATCTTACCCTCCCAAGCTCAGTTCACAAGAGTTCAGAGTTTCCCCTTCCTCCCTCACCACCACCATGGCCTTCAGACTGGTCCACACGGATGATACGGGAATAGGGAGTGGGGAATCAAGCCTCTGTTGACATATCCTCCCTGGAAATTTTGATAACTGCAGACCAACCAAGGCCAGCAGCTGCTGGGATCCAAAAGATAAACACAATTGTTTTGGGACAAGCAGCCTCGAATTTCTTGCCGCTTTACAGTCTTAACTGCATCTCTGAAATGATGAAAAAAAAAAAAGGCAGAATGTTCCGAATTTCATCACCTCCTCGCCTCTTTCCATCTGAAACTTCACCCAGACGTAATCCTACATCTCACTACATCTCACTCGCTGCTGAACCGCGATTCTCGTCAGAATCACATCCAGTTTGYGACTTATCTTCCCCAGCATCTGAGTCTGTGTGTTACCAGTACGGGAGACTCCATCCATGGTTCCTGACAGCCTCTCACAGGCCCAAACTGCTGTCAGGATTGCTTTCATTTTCTGATCAGCAGAAATCCAGTTATCATAAATACAAATATGTACAAATCTTCTACATCTTCAATGGAAAGCGGTGCCAAACAGATCAGGTTCCAGCCCCAAGAACCACTGACCCGACCAGCAGCACCCATTCCACTGGGACAGCTACGTTCCCCTCGTTCCAATCTCAATGTGGAAAAAAATAGTGTCGATTGCGTTCAGAGACCAGTTGACCAAATCCATAATTCCTTTTGTTTTCAGATGATAGAYAGAAGAAAGGCTTGAAAAATGCTGTGAAGAAGGAAAGGAGGGACAGGTTCGGGAGAGAGAGCAAAGAGCATCCGACTCCTCTGAAGGCCAAGCAGGAAAAACAAATAAATAAATAAAAAAGATGCTCGGTGTTGAAGGATCAGTGGATCTGTGTTCGAATACTCCATTGAGYGCAGATCCACTAAGAAACTTGCTKTTTCAGCAACMTTTAATTTAAAATCTGTACTTTTGAGGTTAAACAAATGTTCTTAATTAATTTCAATAAGGGCATGGAAATTTCTCTTCTTTGTATCGAAAAAATATCGAACCGTGAGACTAAAGTATCTAACTGAACCGAATCGTGAATTTTCTGTATCATTGCAACCCTACTAATTAAGTTTATTTATTGTTTATATTTTGTCATAGTCTGTATTCATTTTCYTTGGYTTTCYTRGTGTTTTCTATGTTCCCCTGTGTGTCTCTGCCCAGCTGCCCCACATTACCTTGATGATCACCCTCGTGTTTCTCCCCAGGTGTTTTCTGTTCATTCATTAGTTGTCAGTGTATTTAAGCCCTGTCCTGTCTCAGTCTTGTGTAGGATCATTGTTGTGTTTTTGTTCCTGAGCTTTGTCTCCCTCGTGCCTGTTTTTGAGAACATGTAAGTGATATTTGAGCTGCCTCAACAGCATTTTCTGTTATTTAATAAATCTTTTTGTTCCTTTTTGAACCTGCCTGTGTCCTGGGTCTGTCCCTACCAAATCCTCACACATTTTGCACAATCTCCCAATGTTTTCGAAAATGGAGCTGTAGTTTATGTAAGTACAGTTATTTTGTTTAGTTAGACTTTTATGGCAAGTCATTCTGYTTGTTTGTCTCTTCCAAACCTAGTCATACCCCCATTGGCCTCATTCTGCTGGAGGTTTATTCCTGTTAAAAGGGAGTTTTTCCTTTCCACTGTCGCCYATGTGCTGCTCAGGATGAGCAACTGCGACGAAGTGATTCAACACTATCTGCTTCCTTAGACTGATTCACTTTTGGCGACGTTTGTTGTGAYTTGGCACTATATAAATAAACTGAACTGAATTGSGGGTCTAAAGGAATTGCAGCATTTACATGTGTCACTTCAAATTGGAACTAAAATCAGCTGTACTGTACAAGATCAGCAAAGAGCCAGAATCAGACAAACAGGGAGATTATCCTGTAGCAGAAGAAGAGAACAAAAAAAGTCTGCACGCTGTAGGAAAGGCAGAATAAGCAGCCAAGTGCTGAGATAAATCATACAGCTAATAACCTGCAGGCATGACACAGAGACGAGGATGTGCTGAGTGAGTGTCTGTGAGTGAGAGGGAAGAAGGTGGAGGGGATAATGGGAGCGCGTGGAGGCGTCTGACAAGAAGTGACTTGGCAAATCGGCGGCACGTTCGAGTAAATGAGGGTGAGCGAGTGCGCCCTTGGATAAACGCCGGTGTGTTGGCTGTGTTATCAGTGCAGCGGCGCTCTTTGCCACGGCTGTGCCTTAGGAGGTCTAACGTGGAGCAGCGGGGAGCGCTTGGAGCTCAGTTGCTGTTTCTTCTGCAGTCACGAAGGAAGGGACCGAAAACTCAGAACAAAAGCCACAAACAAAGGATTGGGTTCAAAGTTATTCAGTTTTCTCTCTTTTTTCGTTCCAGCAAAGACTCAAACAGAAGTGCTCTGACAGGATTCTGATGTATGTTGAGCTAAAAATATCTTCTAGGGTGTTTGATGGGTTTGTTACAGGTTCTGGATTCAACGGGGTCAATGTGTTTGCTAAGGGAGAAAAGCAACTGAGCACTTGCCAAATGTATCAACCAACTTCCGGTCAGGCTGAAGCCCAGTGCCCTAATCTACTTACAGTTAGGAGCGCTCCACTGTTGTGCATGTTTGAGCCATGGCTGAGAATGCCTTCCTGCTCGTAACGCTTGAAAAAACCAGGAGGAACTGGATGTTTCGCTTTGATGGGTTTCCTTCAGGGAGGCGTATGAGCCAACCGCCTGAAGGCAACCAAAAGGAGAGTTTTAATCACGAGCATCCTCCTCATAGCAAGGAGGATACGCTAGAGGACATAAGGCTCAGACAGAGATCCCATCAAGAAGAACTTGATATTGTCCTAATAGCATGAAACAGCAACTGAGGCAGCAGTAAGCTGACCCTAAAAGACTGCAATATCAGCCTAAGCGGCTGAAGGATTCAGACAGTTTGTGTTTGGCTCTTCTCGGACTTCACTGTTCGCACACAACAACAGCGTTGTTGGCAAAAACCAAACTCAATCGGACGCTGACAGAAAAAAATGAATAGTGGGATGTAATAAGGGGTGCGTCCTCACCGTTCAGCCGAGCTCCAACAGCAACAAGGATGACTGGCACACCCCAGTGTCTCAGGAGAGGCCGTAGCCTGGGGGCGTAACCGTTTCGGACCTGCTGGAAGGCCAGCTTGTCTGTGACGGAATATTTAATGACAAGGATGTCGGCCTGCTCCAGAACCTTCCGTACGCTGGCCCAGTCGCTGTCCAGCAGGTCCTGGAGGAAGAAAAAGGGAAACAGGATGCACTGAGGAATGTAACACACACAGTCAACCTGGGCCATAAACCTTACCTCAGATAACACCCAACCTTTCCCCTCCAAAGCCTCAGTGTTGGGACTTTACCCCCCAAAAAACCTGCGTAAAACCAGCTGCTCTAACCTGATTTAGCAGGGGGAGTTGCAAAGCTCTGATAAATTTGAATACAAAATGGACAAAAAGACAAAGAATCAGACTGACAAAACTTTTCCAGAACCTCTTCCCCCACCCCTGACATGGACTGACAGCGTCATAATAGGACGTGTACAGCGCCGCTCCACAACCACAACAGTGATTCATTTTAATTGCATGTTCTGTTCAGAACAGAAGTTCTTTCATCAGAGTGTTTTGTGCATTGCATGTTCAAAAAGCGTCCTCTATGAATAGAAACTTTTTTTTTAAACAAAGCCTGCAATCAGCATGGGGAAAAGGGCTTGGAGTTAAAAATGCTGGGCTGCGTGTTCTCAGAGAAGCAAAAGCAGATTGGAACGAGGGAGCAGCGTGTCAGCAGAGTGACACACAATGATGTCTCATAATAGTGCTCTGAGAAAACCACACCACTATTTAATGATATGTTTTGCCATCTTGGCAAACAGCCTGCAGATGCTGACACAATTACTCCTAAAGGCTTGTTTACGGTGCGTTCAGGAGCACGCGCCAGTGAGCGTCACTTAATAAGAAACCAGAAGTTCTGACTGGTCACTGAATGTGTATATATGTCTGTGTGTATATATCTACAGCAGGGCTATTCAACTGGTGGCCCACGGGCCAAATCCGGCCTGAGAGTGACCAAAGTTCAGCCCGCCAATTGGTTCATTCATCTCTTAAGCCCAGACCCCCGGTTTTCTACTTTAATTACTCTAAGTTCTTTTAGACATGTTTGGTGTCTACAGAAACGTCAGAACCTTGGCCACAAGCTGGTATAAACCATTTCTATGCACAGTAAAGACAGTTAAAACTAAAAGCAATTGAAGATAGAACTAAGAAAGTGAAAATAAAAGTAGTTTAAAATTTTGGCAAGTCAGAGATGTCAAAATATTTGTGTCAAATAGGATGCAGAATTTGTTCTTTTTATTTTTGATAATGTGTAATTATCACTACTTTTATAGGGTTCTGTATGTTGTATTCATGATTAAATGCAGCAAAATAAACTATTTCAAAGATA